AGAAGAGCCTTCATCTCTGATTTTAAGGAGCTACTGAATAATGGCATCGATGTTTCTCTCGTATTTGTCAACTTCTTTACAAAGTTCAAGAATTTTGAAGTGTTTATCTAGAGGGTTGATTTTCCTAATATCTCTTTCAATTGTTGATAGTATGTTGAACCTGATAATAGTTTCACTGTTGTTGATTTCATCTGCCCAGGATTCAGTGACTGTGGCTGGAGCTAACTCTGTTTGTGATGGAACAGAGGCTGATATGTTTTGCTCATCAATTTCCATTTCTGTGTTGTTATTAAATGTTGCAGATGTAAGAGAGCTAATTTGGTTGGATTTATGTATAATACTTGACCTTGCATAAAGGCTGATTTGATCTGCATTGTGATCAGGGGTAGCTGTATGTGGTGTTTCAATTAAACAATTATCCTGCATTTCATTATTGTTACTCATTACCTCATTAGGAGCTGGGTGTTTGGAGGGGGTTTGGATGTTTCAGTTTTTTGCTTCAAAGAAAAAGTATTGTCCATGCTTGAGAAAAGGATGTCAAGTCTGTTCCAAGGCATGTGTAGTTTGTAGTTTAACTGTTTTTTCATGATCTCTTTTATTAATTCAATTCTATTTTTGTCAATTATTTCAAATATAATTTGAAAGTTGAAAAGAGCATTAAGAGAGTCTACTGGCATAAGATTCAAGTAAAAGATATTGACAATAATTATTGGTGTGAAGATTTTGATTCTTTGATATGTTTCAAAGGAAATGGCAATTACTTTAGGTGTTTCTGGACCTTCAGTAGTGGAGTGCACTGGTGTGAGCTATGATTGAGAAGTGTTTCCAAGCTTCGAAAGTTTGTGGAAAGAGTTTAATAGGAAAATAATAATTTTGCTTGTTTTGGTATTTTTGTAAATAATGATGGCTTCAGGTTTTTGAATATCAGTGATGAGAACATCCAAGAGAATGTGCTCATAGTTGTTAAGTTGGCTCTTGAAAGAAGAGACTCCTCCAGGGTCTTTGGCAATTTTTTTTTTAAATGAAATTTTGTATTTCCTTATATGGTAATTTTTATCGGATACAATATTTTCAAGAAAGAGTTTTTTCAGGTTTGAAATAATTATTATATTATTCAGATATAATTGTATATAATGTTTTATTTTCATAATCAAGATATTGTATATACTATTGTTGATTATTATTTTTTTAGTTATAGTAGAAGATTTAAAGAAAATATAAATTTGGTTCTTTGTTTCAAGATAAAAGTTTTTGCTTTTTTATTGATTTTGATTTTATTTTATTCTAGGAGATATATAGGTTACAATTAAGTTTTTGTTTAAATGTTTCTTTATAATAATAATTTTTTTTCATTAAAAAAATGAAAGATGTATTGATAATTAAAAAAATAATTGAAGGTCTTTAAAGATATTGGATTCAAAAATATTGCTTTGGCTATAGTATAGTAATTACTAAGTCTCTTTTTATATACTGTTGAGATTATTTTTAGTGAGTCTATTGCTTCCGTTGCAGGCTCATGTCACATTTACAATAAGTTCTGTAAGGCTTCCTTAAGGCATGTATTATTGATTTGGCCAAAATAGCACTCTTTCTAATTCTTTTTTGCCTTTTCTTTCTGTTACTGCACTTCCTTGATGATCTTCTTACTTTCCTATTTCCCGGGGACCCTAGTGTCTTCTTCTTTCATGGTAAATACTGGATTTAGGTAAAATTTAATTGGCTTTTCCCTTTTAAGGCAACATCTATTACACAGCCTAAAAAGGAATATCTTAATTTAGGAATGGTTTGTCTTTATTTCGCATTCCTTTTCCCTAACTCTACTGGTTCTAATTAATTAACTGTCACACATTTTTTTGCTATTAGTTAATTGTCACATACTTTCTATTAGTTAGTTTTTATATACTATCTTGCTATTAGTTATATACTTTCTACTTCATCCTATCTATTTATTTATTATGACTCTTCTTTTTTCGTTATCATGATTTATTCCTATAATTCACTACTATAAACTATTCCAGACTTATGACAGTTGTAACTCTATTTCTTAAACTTCATGCTTACTAAGTCTATTTCTAATTAAGGCCCTAATTAGATGCAGCACATGAAATCATGTTTGTAGCCTAATTGGCTCAACTTTTATCTTTAACAATACAGTATTTTGAAGGTTATTGAGAATACTTTAAAGCTTTTATGATCTTTATCTTAACAGTAAACTAGAATTAGTTAGGTTTTGAAAAGATTTTTAAATTTAAAAAGATAGGTATTATCAATATATATTGTAATATAGTGTTACATATAATTTTTGCTTAAGATTTATATTGTTTCTTATATTACCTTTACTAGTATTTACTGTCTATTCTAAAATAATCTTTGTATTACTAATTTATATCTTCTTTGCCTTTACCTTTATCACCTTTATTATTTTTAGAATCTTCTATTACTTTATTATATTTATTATTATATATATCTTTGCTAAAGTATTTCTCTGTACTTGCTATAAGTATGCTAACTGCTCTAATAAAAATAATATTTATTTTATAATTATTACTACTATTATCTATTATATACTCAAAAATATGTATATAAATGTCTCCAATTCCTTTTGAAATTGCAAGGTTGAACTTTTTTCTTTATTAATAAAATAATTTGACCTTTACAAAACAAATTACTATTGCCTCTTTTGCTTGATCGCATATATCTCAGAACTATATTAATTTTGGTATATCTTTAGGAACTTTAGTATATCATATGGGTCTATCCATATAAAGTGTCTTTTTGCTATTAGTTCTTTATCTATATCTTTTTCTTGAGGTAGGAAGATATATGACAGAAAATAATATTTGATTTGATATTTTTATAAATAATTATAGCTAAGCATTTATTAACATTAGTAATAAGAATATTAAGTAGGGTATGTGTGAATTTAAAGGGTTGACTTTTGAAAAATGAGGACAACTCTCTAGAATTATTCATTGGTTTTTTAAAAGAAAAAATTTTAGTTTCTTTTTTAATAATTTTTATTAGATATATAGTAAATGCGAGTAAAAAAGATAATTTTTTATATTAAAATTCTAATTTAATTGAAAAAAAATTTTTAAATGAAATTAATTAATATATAATTGATATTTTTTAATAAAAATATTAATATAAAAATTATATTTTTTCTAATTATATTTTGATTAATATTTGTATAATATAATTTGATTTTTTTAAAAATAATTTTATATAATAGTAAAAAAACTCTTTTTCACATATAACTTCTTTTATAAAATTGTCTTTTTAGAAAATCTTCTTTTTTTCAAGAAACTTTGACTAGCAAATTATATTTTTAGAGAGAAATATAATTCTAAGAACTGCTATTGAGTAGCAAGGGGTTTTAGCAATAACTCTTGAAAACTGAAAATGGTCCACTCAAGAAAATCTAATACTTGCAAAGGTATTAGTTAAATAGCTTAATCATTAGAAGATGAATAAAAAGTTTTTTTAATATTTAGGCCTTTTTTTATACCAAACAATACAAATCTTTAAAAATATTTTTTCTCTTCAAAAAGTTATATATTATCAAGAGACAGTATTTTATTTTTCAGAGTTTTTATTTTCTACTGATAATGACTAGTGAAAGATTCTCCATATTCTCTGGCTAATTATAAGCTCTTGTCAAAAAAATTTCACAATAAAAAAATTGAAATTGGCTTATCCCATCAAAAGATTTATAACTCATTAAATATCAATCACATCTTGTACTACAAAATTAAAATTAATACAATACAATAATGCCAAATTGGAAGAGTGCATAATCAGTGTCCTGCATGGATTCTGGTAGTACCAAAATCAAAACACTAACAATACAACCATAATACAATACAATGATTAATCACATATAAAATTTCATATTATTTTTAACAATGGAATTGCATCTCATAAACAAAAATACTACCATTAAAGAAAAAAGACAACCAAAGCCTAATCAATATGAATAAAAGAAATCTTATTTTGAGTAAAAGTGAAATACCAGGAAGTTGTGCCCCATAATCTGGCAGCTTAAATCAATGCTCTGCTATCACATTAGATTCATACCCAATTATTGAAAAGAAAGCCTTGAATCTAGGTAGATATATTGTATTTGTATTCTGCAGGGGAATTATTAAATAAAAAATTATATGCCCCAAACCCTATTACACATTATCATTAAAACATCTCTCTTACTATAAAACACCAACTATATGCCTCATCTGATGTTATACATTTGAGAAGCATATAGATAATTTCATCACATAAATATTTTTTTTCTTTAATCAAACTTCTTATATTCTCATCATAATGGTGCCCAAAATGTTTTTTTATTTTTTATTTTTAAAAGTAAATAGTTCCTTTCTTTTCCCTGATCAAGGGTTTTTTAGAAATATATCTACTATAATAGGTGGTAGACTAATATGTATACAATGTATTCATATATCTCATATCTTAATGTTAAATATGTACATATTCAATTATTACTTTTTTAATAAAAATTACCAGACATGTCTCACCTTAATATCAAAAAAAATTTTTTATGTAATAGTACAATATAATTAAAAACTAACAATACTAAAATAAATATTATATAAATAAAAATTTAAATGTATTCTTTACGAATTTTTTAGACTGAACAAATATTTATGCACATACTTTAATAAGTGTTTTTATTGATTTCTTTAAATTCAGTGTCAATATACAGTATATGTTAAATATGATTACATAAAGATGCTAAAAAAATATTTAAAATGTAATTTTTTACTTAAAATATTAAAATACATTAAACCTTTGATAAAAATATCATTTTTTTTTTTTTACACAATATGACCCAACCGTACGAGGTTTTTTTGTTTTTTTTTCGTTAGTGTTTTATGTAATGTGGTCTTATAAATATTCTAGATAACCCCAATTCGAAGTTATGAAGATGCATAGAAACTTAGAAGTCGAATATGGAGTTACGAAAATATACAGCAAAATAAAGTAGATTAATTATAAGAATACAACTCATCAAACTTATCATATTCTTCATCTTCATTCATATAGCATGTATAAGAAGCTGAAACGTTGATACTATTAATATTTGTTGGTTTGACTAATCCAAATGTATTTGTCTTTAATGAAGGGGTGGAGTGTTGTGATTTTTTCATTTCTTGACTCAAGTGCGCGTGTTGCGGGATGGTGATTTTATCATTTTGTTTCACGTTCATACTGATCTCATCTTCACTAGACGATGTTTGAAATAATTTTGTTAAGGTGAGCCCAAACTCTGTCATTACAAATACTGTAAGTGCACTGCTAAACAACTCAATATAAGTATAAGATGGCAATCTATCATTTATAAGGACTAAAATTCTATAAACACTCATTGAAATTAAAAATGAGAGGTCCAAAGTGAATATTAATATTTGATATCGACGGAGTCTTAATAGTCGCTGACTTTTCAAATCGTCGCCATGAAGATTCAGAGTTTGAAATAGTTTCACGTAGAAAGTCCCTTCGGAAAAAATATAATAGAATCTAAATGCCGGTGCCATTCCATCACGAATTTTCCAAACCGAATCTACTTGATGACAAACGGATCCCGCGGTCAACCCTTGACACATAATATTATCGTATACGTTCACTATGAGTACAACAAATAATTCAATCGCGCGTAACCCGATCAGAAAGTAATGTACTGTAGGATATTTTCTATATGGTTCGAAGACGGCCCGGCAACGTAAAAAAGCAAGATAAAGTACTATGGGCTTTGCTACAAAGTATGCGAGGTTGCTTGCGGTTTGAGCCCAAAGGTTCCATTGATTTCCTAATGCTCCAGAGCTGGACAGAATCATAAGTACGGCGGAAAATTCATTCGCAAGCATTGCGACGTTGACTATAGGAAAGTAGATCATCTTATTGCCAGCACGCACTACGGCCATTCTTATGGTAGAATGCGAGCTAAGTGCTATGCTGGCTCCTAGAAAGACTGCACCAATAAGATTTTCCAAACCTCCTGGTTGAGGTTGATTTTCATCCGCCATTAATTTTTTTGACTAAAAAGCTAAGGGAAAGGCATAAAACTGAAAGACAACACTCTGGTCAACAATGCGCATTAATGGTCTATTTTTTTTTTTTCGTTAAAAACCGCGATTTATAAATTTTAATTCTATGCATTGCTATTAACTTATTTTTTGCATACGTATATTATATGCAACGTAAATAATAAATAAATTTGCACAACGTTTGGCTGGCTACATTCAGTTTGACGTGTTACAGTAAAATAAAGGTGAAAATTGTCGATTAGTGCTATAATTAGGTTTTTTTAATACAGGTAAGTTTAATATAGACTGAAATTTTGAGATAAAGAACATTTTTGGCTATGATCTATCATTTAAGATTTTGAAGCACAATCATACCATGCATCTATTAAGTGAATCTGGCCTTATCGGAATATAAACAATGCATTATGAATACTCGTGTTACATGGTGCAATCATGAAAATCCGCATTAAGACTAAATGTCGCGGTGTATAGTCGCCCCGTCGTGGATATTTGCCAACTCCTGCTAATGAAGTAAAAAATGATCAAATAAATTTAATAAATTGTGACTTTCTTTGATTATATCATGTCAATAGTTTGCTATACAGTGTATAAATTGCTAGTAAAATTATTTGTAAATAATTGAATCGACTTTTTAAACGGCTCTTTTAACAGTTACTACTACAGTAGTAAAAGATATATCAATTTTGCTGATCAATCTTATACATAAATCTAATCGCGATAGCGTTATTATTGCATTCTTGCATCATTTTGTCTAATTATTATGGATAACTCGTACGTCACTCATGCAGCATCTGTACAGTATATGCAATAAAATTTTAACTGTATATTTTCACCTAAATTTTCGGTTTTATTTTCATACAGCACTGTATCTAGAATGTTCGAAATTGTATTTTTTGCATTTAATAACAAAAATCAAACGAACAAAGCTTATATATTTATTAATAAAAAACAAGAAATGAATCTTGTTTTTAAACAAAGTAAAAAATTTTATAATGATACATGAAAAAAAAAAATAAATAAACAAGAATTGTATAATGTTATAATAAAACAACGAATGCTTATTAACATTTATAAAGTTTATAAACAAAAAATTAAAATATACGTTTGCAAAATTGATTTTTAATTATTTCGATTACCTTTAAAATCAGCAAGCTATTAAATTATCAAATATTTATCAGTAGTTTCCAATTAAATTAAATTTGTTTAAATCTGATTATTATAAATCTACTGTATTGGCTGTTTTTTTATCATTAAATCCACTAATTATTCTTATTATCTTAGATCTTATTTGCATATTCCAAATACTTTTAAAATTATAGATATTTTTTTGTTTTTAAGTATTTTTTTCTTGTGAAATCTGCGACAAAATATTGTATTTTTATATTCTTTTATTGAAATAAAAATTCTGTATATAATTACTGCTTGTCTATTATTCTTTTGTTTTAAAATTAATACTACTTTATTGATCATGTATTATATAAGGTTTTAAACTTTCGTTTTCTATAGAAGTTTTTGTTTAATTTTATTTGCTGTACCAAGTGATTTTTTTAAAATAGAATATTTAGATAATATTATATACTATTGCTTTAAAAGAAATATAAAAACAACAATTAATAAATATTTTTTTAAAAAACTCTTCCACTTGCTTCTACTTTATTAGAATGTTTCTTTTTAAAAGCCTTCTTGCCTTCAGCTACAATTTCTCTTCTTTGGCAAAAGATGAAATCTTGCAACAGGATGAATCTGAAATGTGCTAACAACACATAAGACTCTTTCAACTGCCAGATATTATTATTCAAAAAACAAATACAATATAAATATAATATTGTTTGGCATATAAAGAAGCATTCTTGCTTAAAGAAGCATAAGCAAATCAAAATCTGTATATAACAATAGTTTGAAATAAAAAAAAAGATCTGGGAAACTCTTCTTTTTGCAAAGCTCTATATACTTCTGATAATAACAAGCTTAAAAATGATTTTTTTATTTCATTTTTTTTTAAAGATTTTTTTTCTAGACCTCTCTTTCCTTTTTAATCTGATTCATTTATCAATTCCTAAACACATTAATAACACTATCTTAATTTGATATACTTATTTAAAACTTACTTAAAAAGAGTTTTTTCAAGAAAGTATAAGCTTTTTCTAAAAATATTAATTCCTAATACTAGAGTATCCAATCAAAAAAACTATAACAATAATATTTGACTAAAAGTTGAATCAAAAATCTATAATAAGTCAGATAAATTTACTTATAATTATTATTCAATATATTAAAAATTTGTTAAGTGAGAAAGAAATATAATTAAAAAATATTATTAGCTATTAAATAATGAATTACTTTTATGCTTCTATTTATCTTAATACTGTTTTATAAAAAAATATATAAATAATCTTAAATTAATATAGTTTATTACATGACTGAACTTAATATTTTACTTAATAATATTAAAAAACTAATAGATTTCCTTATCTATATGTCACATTTAATTTCTTAAATAATAATTTCTTTAATTATATATTATATTTTTATTACAATAACTATAATCTTATAATATTTATCTTAACAATATTTTTATTTACATCTTATATTCAAATTTCTTATCAATATTTTAACTAATCTTTTATTAAATCCTTATTAATATATTTTAATTATTACTTATTAAAATTTATTTTAATATAATTTTTAATTTTAAAATTTTAAAATATATTAATATACAAGTTAAAATTTTATTTAAGAAATTTTTTATTAAATAAAATATATTTATTTTTATAAATAATCTTATAGTTTAGAATATAAACTAAACAATTACCAGCTTTACTTAATATTTTTTTCAAAATTAAATATAAACCAATTTGGTATACTAAAGTTCGTAAGGGTATACTAAAATTAGTACAGTTCTGAGGTGTATAAGATCAAGTGAAAGAGGCAATAATGGTTTGTTTTGTAAAGGTCAAGTTATTTTATTAATAAAGAATTAAGTTCAACCTTGCAATTTCAGAAGAAATTGAAGACGTTTATATATATATTTTTAATATATAATTTGCATATATGATGGTAGTATACTTTGATAAAGATAATAGTTATAGAAGAGATAGTATCTTCATCAAAATAATCAAATATACTCATATTGGTAGAGATAAATACTCTGGTGAAAATAGCAAAGTAATAATAATAAATAAAATTAAAGAATATTTTAGAATAGGAAGAGATAGCTAAGTAGGCAAAGTAGGCAAAGGTACTATAGTAAATCAATGATACAGAAATTCTAGAACAAGAAAAAAATATTTTAGGGCTAAATGCTAGTGGATTATCACAAGGATAAATAAAATGTTAAGTGAAGATCAAGTTTAACAATATCCTGAATATATAACAATATTTGGATTATTATTAAAATCCTCAATTAGTCTGGGGTTATTTATTTATTAAATTATAATGAACTATTACAAATAAGATTATATATATAAATCTTCTCAATCCAGCTCACTTGTCTATAATATTAAGTCTTTAGATATAATTTATAAAAATAATATATTGCTTATCTATTAATTAGAATTAAGATTCCTTTTGTATAATAGAGTTATAGCCTGTAGATTGAGTTTTTAATATTAATTATTTTTTATCACATTTTATAAATTCATATATTAGTTCTTTAATCTTATCTATTTTGTTAGTATATATTTTTGAAATGAATATTATCTTTTAATTCCTTTTTTTTTTCTTGCCTTGATTGCTTGAAGATTGGCTTCTAAAAATATTTATTTTTCTTAAAAATCCTTGTATATGTTTTTCAAATTTGGGATTTGACTTATATTTCATTGGTAATATTAATTTACATAGTTGAAAACTTTTATGTTCAGGCTATCTTAAGATCTTTTTAATTCTTAAGTTCAAATATAAATTTGATTAGTTCTTACTGTAATATCATATCTATATTTTTATATTAGCTTTTTGAAGTTTTTTTAAAAGTTTAAAATATTTTTGCAAAGTAGCTTTCAAGTTCTGAATTGATTGACCTGTTTTATATTTATCAAATTTTGAACTTATATAATTAGATTTTCTGATATAAGTTCAATTATTTAATTCAATTTTTTATTTTTTTTAAAAAAATCTTTTAAGTCAGATGGAATATAAATAGTTTTATATTAAAAATATATGATATATTTGATTTGATTGGTTAGGAGTGTGACTGGTGAAAAATTAATTTACTTATTATTATATTTATTGATATGTTTATAAAACTTGTCAGATATTAGATAATATACAGTATATTGTTATATATAATTAATGGATAAGTTTTTTTATGCCAGGTATATTATCTTTTATTGCTTGAAAAAGTTTGATATTAATAGGATTTCTTTAGTTTTAATTGACATGAAGGGTTGGATGCTATGCAATTTATATAATCTTTCTGCTTTTATATTTGAATCTGATCAGATCTCAAGAGCAGTTTTCTTTAATTCAATTATAGCAACTTTTAGAATAAATTAGAATATACTCTAATATTCCTTGTTAAATAAGTTTTTCTAGATTTGCTAATTTGATGCTAAAGTAGTTTAATTATTTGACTAGTTAAGATAATATATTAGTTGAATCTTTGATTATAACAGCTAATATGTTTAACTTATTTTGTTTTTTTTCTTTTGAATATTTCTTTTTATTGTAGTTAGCTTATTTGAACTCAAAAGTTTACTATGAATTGTTCTGTATCATTGTTTCATTTGAAACTTTATAAAGATTTATATTTTGGTTCTATACATTTAGTATCTTTTTATATAAAGCAAATAAGTTATCTTTGATACTTCACCATATTTAATTTTTAAAGATATATATATACTTGTTATTGCTTAATTGAAACTTTAATTGTTTTTAAATCCTATAATTGCAAATTGTATTTTATTTTATATTTTGCTGTTTGAGAATATATATTGTTACATGTGATTTTCGCTCAAGATTTACATTGCCCCTTGTATTACTTT